AAAAAAGCTGTGAAGTCTGATGGTAAAGCCAGGGCTGGAAATAGGGGCCCGGGGGCTCTCGTGTTGAATGAAAGGTACAAGGTACAGTATACAGAAAAAGACAAAAAAAATATATATATATATTTAATTACTGCTATGTATGCATATGTTGCTCTTTTCATAACCATGATCTTATTTCCACCTAACAGTTACATGTATTTGATTTTATTAATTTATGATAATGATGATGTCTTAACAGGGCTACAATCCTGGATTGTATAAACTAAAAAATAGTCTGAATAGCAGTCTCAATAGCTAAATCGGTTGAGAATAATATATTGGGTTCGCTCATCACATAACAAGGACAACATAGAATACTAGTTCATCAAACCATGCAAGGACATCAAACCCACCGGCAGAAAGTTGTTTTGGTTCCAGCTCAAGTTCTGCAAATTTTTCCACCCCTAGAATTTCAACACCAGAAATTCTGACAACATCATAAATTGTGGCTTTCCTACATCTCCGGCCACTATTATTTTCTTACTTCTTGAAGCCTACATTCAAGCAAGGAGGTTTAATAGCAACTTGGACGAAGTTTCTTCTCTCAAAACTGACCGCCATTTTGTTATGCAAAATAGAGCCCTTCTATTGGTTCCCATACGTCACATGACCAACTGGTAAGAGAGACACCTATCATCCCTTGATAAAACTGCAGGTTTTGGTGGTGTGATCTATTTTTTGACAACTCCTCTGGGGCGGAGCCTATGAGAAATTGATTTTTTTTTTTTTTTTTCATTCTGCGAAATCTGATAGCGGCGATTCCGAGAACCAACAAATTAAATTGGTGTGGCCTAAGTGTCAGAAAATAATAAAATCTTTGTTGAAGATTTTGAAGTTAGCTTCCATTTCAGTGTTAAGCTCAGAAGAGGAGCAGTAAGATCTGTAATTAGGTTTTATTTTATATGGTGCACCCAAAAAAATTTTTATGTACCTAATTTTTTAGGTTGGGTGCACCAGTGCACCTATTCCCAAACATGAATTTCGAGTCCTGCATCTACAAACACCACGACAAATGAAACAAGAAAGTCTTTAGCACCTAAATGAGCCTTAATGCCTTTAATCCAGAAAAAAGTGCTGTTTGATGGGGCAGGACTTGAAAAGCTTCTAGCGTCCAAGGTTAGCATGGCGTCCAAGGTTAGCATGGACCACATCCTAGCCTAGTCACAAAAAAGATTTAACTCCACAAGCTATTCTGTATCTGTATCTGTATAGCCAGTATAACACACCAGCTTCGCAGGCACGCTGCGCGGCGGCAGCTGGCTATATAACACCGATCGACTTGTAATACCTAACCCTTGAACTTCTAACTCTAGACATTGTTTAAAGCTATCTAATGACAATGCCCCTACTGTACTTGGTGACAGTGAGTTCCACTCTGCGATAGTTCTAGGAAAGAAAGAATTCTTGAACACCTCAATCCTTGGTTGATAACTCCGGTACTTGAAGGCATGGCTATTTCTTGTTCTCTTCTGGGCTGGTATTAGGTAATTAGTAATTAGTACGTCCACTAGTTTATTAGTCATTTTGTACATCATACATAGTCTGGACATTTTTCTTCTGTCTTCCAGGGAGGCCCACAAAGCTTCACAAAGCTTTTACATAGAATTCAAGTTATACTGTCTTACCGAATTCCCACTCAGTTTGTCCAGGCCGATCCATGTGTTGCTCCTGATGTTATCCCTGAGGAAACTGTCCATTTCAGCAGTCTTGACCACGACGAGACGTGCCCCCTCTGCCTGACATGTTGTCCTGGCATCCTCGTACGTTTTGAGGTCAGTAGAGAACTTCAGACACGTGCCCTCAGCTTCTACGTAATTGGTCAGGCAAGCTGGAAAGTTTTTTTTTAATTATGAAAATACAACTTGATAGTTCATTTTCCTCATACAGCATACATGTATTTGACTTCATCTCCCTCTCATTCCAAAATGGACTGTTCCATACCAACCTTTTGCATAAATGGACTATCCCCAAGTTACTTTGCAAGTTACAATATCAACCCACTCTGAAAAGTTATTATCTTACTTAATATATACTATATAAATATATAACCGTAACAGTACTACACCACATGTATACTACCCAAATTCAAATGCGAAATACTACCACTGTATACAAGTGCCAGGTCACTTTGCATTCATTCAATGGTGCAGGAACCCAAAATATACATTTTTGGTCTAAGAATAGCAAAAAATGGCCAGTATGAATCAAGTCCTGTGGACATATGCCCTAGGCACCTTCATGCCAAATTTCATTTACTTTTAATCCCTAAATTGAATTTCAGGTCACTTTTTACTTTAATTCAAGGAGCCCAAAATTTTTGACCATGTAGAAATTGCCAAAAAAAATCCCAAACTGTATCATTTTAAAGTAGAGTATCCCAAAAGAAGAATAAAGTTATGGGCATATCACCAAGGCACAATTGTACTAAATTTCATTGTCATTTGATTGTAATACAGAAGAACTTTATTGCGCAACAGATGTAGCAGGCACATCGTACGGCAAAATACACATACATAGTCGGTGATGCTAAGTTCTTTGAAACAAATAAAATAGATAAAATAACAAAGGTCAAGGTCCAATTGTTTCTTAATAACTACTGAAACATCACTTATACATAGTTACATAGTTGGTGATGCTAAAAATATTGAACAGTTGTACTAACTGTACGAAGAATCTGGTCCACTTTCATAAACAATGTATAACAATAAAGAGCCACTAATTATACCTATCTAACTCTATTGATAGAAATATATTGTGTCAGGAATTTTTTACATTTTCTCATTTTGTCAGCATGCATTAGGTCATTCATGGTGCCCATCCAAAAGGATCAAATTTTTTAAAAAGAATGTAATCCTCACACTGTCCCCAGTTTGATTGTAATATTTGTTATCAACTTACAGCCATCACTTGTCTCACAAGTCCAGATAAAGTTGAGATCTGACATGGAGACCAGACCCTCCGGATCCAAGGACACTGAGGCATTTACCCAGAAGTCATCTGAGATGTGCCGAGTGACCAGGGACGGTCCCAAGGTCATCCCCAAGGGCATCAACACTACCCGAAGCCATGTCTGGTGTACGTAGTGTATGTGTACGTCACTGTTCCCATTCTGATCCAAGATGGCCACCTGGAACTGTACAAATGGTAAATGTACAGTTAATTCTATTTTTTTTTTTTTCAAATTGCAACAATGCAATACACGCAGAACAGAGGCAGCTGTTGCTGGTGTTGTGTCACACACATAGAAACGAATACTGGACAGACAATACTCATTTTCACTTGAGTCTAGTGGGGAAAGTTGTGTATAGTCCCAAGGGCAGAAGATCAGTGGCATGTCAGGATTGAGAAACCCGGGACCTCTTGATTCCGAGTCGCGCATGCTGCCGTTGCGCCACACGACCCCACAGTTAATGTACAGTTAATTCAAGACTAGTTGATGAACTTTGGAAGCAGGCAAGGCTGTGCATATAGAAAAGCAGGCCTCAAAATCCTTTTTTCAGCATACCTGCACTGGACCTAACAGTCAAAATTACCAACACCAGACAAACTTTACCAGCATCACTCATACATTGAGAAGTACATTGTATTGACCATACATGTACTTAAGACTTTTCAGAAACCATTGCCATTATTTCTTTGATTTATACTTTTCATAGGTGGTAACAGTCAAGGCAGCAAATAAAAATCAACATACACCTACAAGTATCTAAACCTACAAGTATCAGATTCTATAAACCAAGTACATGGACCAGTGCAGGCTAGGTGCAGGTAGATTTAACTCAGAAATACCTGTACAGCCCTAATTTTACCTGCACTAAGGTGCATATGCACCCAGTATTTCCGGCCCTGAATGAATATACAATTTGTTACAATGCCTAAACAAAAAACGTGCTTCAGTTTGCCCTTACCTGAACCATGTAAGTTCCTGGCAGCAATGTCAGTTTGGGAACTGTCAGATGTTCTTTGTTTGTGACCAGGTTCCGGAGGCCATAAACGGGGGCAAACGTATTCACAGGGTTTGGAGCTGTGGTTGGTTGGAAGATTGTCCAGGAATATCCCGTGACAGACATGTCTACACACGATACCAGCCTGGCTTTGCCGTGTAGGACAAAGTCTGCCATACGAGACACCGTAAAGGGTTCTGTTAACCTGAAATATAGATCGAACAAGGTAATTAGAGATGGCAGATTTCACCCTACTGCCCAAGCTGCTTTTTGACCCAACCATTGCCACAAATATATTCAGGCTGGAAGCTGCTTTGCAATGCTGCATTGTGTGAGCTGGGATTGCAGAAATACACACAGGCAGATACACACATAAGACAGACGGACAAGCCAAAAAAAAAATTTTACTCTTAGGCCACACCAATTTAATTTCTTGGTTAACGGATTTTTCTAGGAAAATAATGGAGTGGGCGGGCAAAAAAATAAATAAAAATAAAAACAGGCCTAGGCATCCTATTATGGCCCAAAATGGTACAATAGGAGCCATGAAGTCAACACACCAGGCTGGTTCAAAATTTAAACAAAGAATTTGAACATTTAATGATACCATTGCATTGAAAGATGGAATAACTGTAACAACTACGATCAAAAGGACTGTTTTCAACTGTTCAGGGCAAAATATGAGCATTTTGCAGTTGATTCTGAATTTTTATTTTTATTTGCAAATCAGAAAAAAAAATGGAGCAGGCAAATCTGTTAACCAAGAAGTTAAATTGGTCTGGCCTTAAGGTGAAGTTATATCATAAAAAGTAACAGAAAGAAGGATGGAAGTACTCAGACAATTTCTGGAAAAATGAAACACATTTGGTTATCAATGATTATAACTGTTGTTAAATACGTATATTTGTATTTACATTGTATGATCATGTATCTTATGTATATGCCTTAAGAGCTTTGGAGAATAAAATCGTTCAAAAAAAAAAAGGATGGAAGTACAAAAGTTATGAGTATAATGTTTGAGTTGTGATTAAATTTTTTTAGAAAAAAAATCCAGTACATAAAAATCCTAATGCACTTCAGATTTAATCTGGAATAAAATGCCTCACAAAGAAGATGCCAGAAGGACAAATGCCAGAAAATTTCTATACAAAACTGAGTTAGGGCAGAGTTAAATCTGTACCTGTGGATCCCTTCTGTGATTCCTGTCTGAATATCACAGTTTGGAACTGAAGTTGAAACAGGTGGATCCAGCAAGGTGCAGCTAGACAACTGGGTAGAGCAGGGGGATACTCTTACATCAGAATAACCTGGAAGATAGAATTAGAATAGAATTCATTTTCATAAGACTTGTTGAACATTGGTAAATGAGAAACTAACACTACCATCCCTGTCCCTACATGTAGTACTGGATGACAATCACACTAACACTGCCATCCTGTATGTGGTACTGAATGACATTCACACTAACACTACCATCCCTGTCCTTGGTGCTGAATGACATTCACACTGACACAACCATCCCTGTCCCTGGTACTGAATGACATTCACACTAACACTGCCATCTCTATTCTGTTCCTGAATGACAATCACACTAGCACTGTCATCCCTGTCCTTTGTGCTGAATGACATTCACACTAACACTGCCATTCCTGTCCTTGGTACTGAATGACATTCACACTAACACTGTCATCCCTGTCCCTGGTGCTGAATGACACTCACACTAACACTGCCATCCCTGTCCCTGGTGCTGAATGACATTAACACTAACACTGTCATCCTTGTCCCTGGTGCTGAATGACATTCACACTAACACTGCCATCCCTGTCCCTGGTGCTGAATGACATTCACACTAACACTGCCATCCCTGTCCCTGAATGACATTCACAATACCTCTCCCTACTTTCTTGGTACTGAATGGCACTCACATAATGTGACCTGCCATCCCTCCCTGGTACTGAATTAGATTGTCAGGGCTCGAAAATCGCTTTTGGGAATAGGTGCATTGTGCACCCAACCTAAAAAATTGGTTGCACACAAAATTTTTAGATGCACCATAAAAGATAATACTACATGTATGTCAGCAAAAACAAAATGTTTCATTTTTAAAGAAAGTACTACTTATAACAATGATTTTATTTTTCTTACATTTAAATGTTAAGAATATGCTGTATACTACTATACATTCAACATCTTTACATACAAAAACCTACAAAAATATTTGAGTGCACCCACAGAAAAAAATTGGGTGCACAGCTCCAAATTTAGGTGCACATGCACCCAGTATTTCGAGCCCTGATTATTATTATGGCCTAAGCAGCAGAAAAAGTCTGACACACAAACACACCTGTTTCACAATGAAGGCCTTCATAACCAGGGGGGCACTGGCACAGGTACCCGTTAAGTCGATCTAAGCACACGGCACCATTTCCGCAGGGGCTGCTCACACACTCGTCAATGTCGTCTTTCAACGTCAGTGCCACATATTCATTACAGATCTTTCCGTCCAAGCCAGCCTTGCAGGTGCAGTTGTAACCATAGTTGTCATACCTGGTACAGGTCACGTTGCAAGGAGTATGGCTGCACATAACTACACCTTGAAGATAGGAACATAAATACAAATGTTAATGCGTGTGTGTGTGTGTGTGTGTGCATGTATTTTTGTGTTTTTTAAAGGTAGTGTACATCATCACTATCATTCATTAGAATGAGAATGCCATAGAGAATAATAGGTTTGATTAAGTTATGCGTGTGTGTGTTTGCGTGTGTGTGTTTGTGTGTGTGTGTTGTGTGTACAAACATGACATTATGTCTATATACAGTGTATTTTTCTGTTTTGATATGTGTGTGTGTGCACGTACGTGTGTGTTAGTGTGTGTGTGTGTGTGTGTGTGTGTGTGTGTGTGTGTGTGTGCACACATGCATGTTTGTTTGTTTGTGTGTATATAGACTAAAGTGCTCCAGGACTTGCATTAAAGCTAACAGATTTTTGTTGATTAAGGTACCTGTGTTACAAGGGCCTGTAGACATGGTGATATCATCCAGACCAATGTCTCCTGCAACGTTTTTACCACGGACACCCTCCATCACAACCTGAAGGTGGGAGAGAGGAAGGTACAGTCAGAATATAAACCAACGATTCAAATTAGAAGGGTAACATTAAATTTTGCAAAGCAAATACATAATGTTTACCTTCACTGGCCAACAAAGTACTACTCTGTTTATTCTTATGCAAACACATTCATGTTCATGTATATGGCAAACAGCCCCTCCAGCTCTGTCCTGCTACATAATGTAACCCAACAGTCTGCTACAGCACCAGAAGGTGACAGACATCTGGTCCTGGTCATTGACTTTGCTTGGAACAGAAGAAGAAACCAAGCAAAAACAATGGTTTGCTTCTGCAAAGGTGAACATAATCAGAAGGTGCTCAGAGCTGGACGTGAATCCAGATCTTTCTCAAACTTCAGGTGCAAAAGTCTCCTACGGTCCCACCTCATTAAAGAATGATAAATATAATGTTCTGCCACAGATATCAAAGTTTATCTAACCACACCTGGTAAGGACTAGCGCTGTACACTTCTACTTCAGCCTGTATCCACCGGTCTCCCTGTGGGCCTGTCCTCTGGAAGGTTGGGACAGTCGGTAGAGCTGAGCCTGTCTGGATGTACACGTTCAGCCTGTTGATTTCCCTACCGTACATGTGGTACCAGAACCGCAGACACATTGTAGATGATGTGGGGTAGACTGTGGGACTGTACAGTCTGGCCTTGTCAGACATTTGAACGCTGGAGGTCTCGATGTAGATGTAGTAACCAGTTTGGTCTGATGAGGAATATTGACATTACAGTTATTCTTAACCTTATAATCCTGACAGTTAAATACAGAATGATATTAAATACTTTTTCTCATTTATCTATACTGATAATCATGTTGAATGAATGTTATGGTCAGCACAGAATGTAATGAAACATGCAATTCAGCCTCCAGGATGCATAATGTTTTAATCAATAAACCAGTCATCAATCAATCATCAATCAGGAATGAATGAATGAAGACACAATTATTGTACACATATATACCCATTGGGTTAAGTATACAATACATGTACATTTTGTAGATGACAATTGATGTACTAGTAAGCATCAGGGCTCGAAACTAATGGTGTCCTGATGGCCACTGACCACTAAAAGTTAATCCGGGACACCTGAAAAATCATTTTGGGACAATTTTGGGACAATAAAAAAATAATCAACATCAGAATGTCTGCCCTTCATGCGTTTATCAGGTGCGCAACCCGGCTATCCGGGGCTTACAATGGGGTGTCGATGTCGCAAACAAGTATTTTCTCATTTTGTCATCGCACTATGGCTGTAATAACTGTCTGACGTACCGCAGGGTTTGACGGGGCAGTACTGCCAGCGGACGCTAGGGTCCAGGGTGTAGCACCATGGTCTCTCCATACCGTCAGGGTTACGGCAGTAGTTCTCAAACAGACTGTCAGTCCTGAGGTCCTAAACCAACAAGGGATATTTTTGTTACAGTAATATCTTTGTTTGTTTGTTTCGAATAACCGGTAAACCGCCTTTAGGTGTAACACACCAGTTTTGGACACGTGCGTACATGTACAAGCTGCGTAAGACCGGACTGTAAGGTTTTGAACCACTCACACCGGGAAGATCCCCTACTCTTTTCAATAAGTGCAGTAGGTTCTTTAACGTGCATGGGGTGTGGCTCTCCCAAACACAGGACCTCCATTTAACGTCCTATCCGAGGGACGTCCCCAACTGAAGCTAGGTACTCATTTCCACCTGTGTGAGTGAAGTGAGGAAAGTCGTGTAAAGTGCCTTTCCCAAGGGCACAAGATCGGTGACATGGGCAGGGTTCGAACCCGCGACCTCTTGGGTGTGAGCCAAACGCGCTACCGACTGCGCCACACGACCCCACTATCTTCTTCAAATGATTGGCTTTGTCCTTTAAAGTTAACAAAAATCCATTTGACTGTTTTCACCTGTTGGACGAAATTGGTGTCCTGGCATATCATGGCATTACAGATGTTAGAATCATTGGGCTTTGGACACAGAGCATAAAGTGGAGCTACAGAATTCATTAAAAATGCAATCAGAGATGGCAGACTTCACCTCCTTATATGCCGCTTTGCAACCTTTTAGGTCCGACCACAGACAAAAGAAATAGCAGCACAGAAGTTGGCTAGAGGTTGGTAAAATGATGTGTATTATGTGTTTTATTATTTCGAAAACACTGACAGGCAGAGAGACAAAGATACAGACAGATAAACGGACAAACAATATTTCACTCCCTTAGGGTGAAGAACCCATACCAGGAACTCATGCTCATGCGGAGTTTGGTCCTCCCAGCGCTGACACACCAGACCGTCATCTGTAGTGTTCACATGTCCTCGGTAGGTGGCGCCATTTCCCATGAAACAGTCTGAAATGGCACAATTAATGCATGGAACTCAGTGTTGTTCTTGGACTAGTACTACAAACCAGCCCTAAAATATAGCGTTAAACGTTGTCAAGTTAAGCCCCGGTCGTAAACTAGTAACCGTACAATGAACCTGCAATTAAGGGATATTCATGATGGTGTTTCTCCTATTTTAATATGCACGGTGATATTGTCGCGGAAAACAAATAAATGGTAGGTGCACCCTCTTCCACCCTGTTCTGGATTTCTGGGGGAGATCCCTGTAAACTGTCAAGTTGGTTTTCAGTTTATTTCATTGTCAATTGGCTTACACGACAATACGGTAACTGCACTCTGACAAAGCTCCACAGTTGATGTTATAAAGAATCAATTCATGAAAACCAGGTTGGGACAGTCCATCTTCACTTCGGGACAGTTGGAAATTACTTTTGGGACAATTCTGGGACAATAGGGGAAAAAGTTAGTTTCGAGGCCTGAAGCATGTTCATCAGTTTAACGGTGCACACACCAATTCTTCCGCGACAGGGGTCCAATGTAGTGCGCGGAAAAAAAGTGACGAAGAGGTTCCGATGGTTCATGTTTGAGTTTACATTTCTCATAATCTGCTGCAAAATGGTATTAACTACTAACATGGCTGGAAAGTGTAAGAAGTGGCGTGTTTTGGGTGAAAATTGATTTCGGGCCCGAGGCTTACTTCCGGGTGTCCTTCCGCCTAGAGTGCGGTGCTTCGGTTTGACCTATATATGCGTTGTATGCGTTCTGGGGGTGCTGTCGCTATGCCTCGCGCGGCGGGTTATTGTGATAATCTCAGTGTTAGGATTTTCTTTATACTTTTCTTAATAATACATAAGGGTTTTCTCTTTCCGACCATATAAGTCATTATGGTGGCTGAAATCTGGGTGATGGGTCTAATTCCACGTGAAAATGGCCAATTTTTGGCATCATTTTTCATCGAAAAATTCTTTTTCCCCCTAAAATTTACTAAAATGTGAGAGGTGAAAGAAATTGAAATTCTATTGTTCTCGTAGCTAGAGGGATATCCTTCATTTGCAAACACAGTGTTTTGGCTTAAGAAGTATCAAGAAATTTTCTTGAAAGAGACGGTCGCTAGAGTTGAGGGTATGCAGAATCGAATTGAGACGCAAAATAAACTGGGGTGTGCCCCCTTAAAGACAAGTCTTCCACACCACCTGTTATATATGTAAATAGTTGCTGCAAATACAAAAAGCACCTACCCCCTACTGTGTGGTCAAAAGAAGGCCCAGTGAGAAGGGAGCTTGTTGCTCCCCAGTGCCTTGTCCAGTTGAAGTTATCCTGTGTGCTCTGAGTCCACCTGCAGAGGTCCGTCTCAAAGGTACAGTCAATCAAACCTGGAACACACCAGAGACAGCACTTTGATTTCTGATTTTCTTCAGCGTGTCTGTGTGCTTCTGTGTGTGTATCATGCATGTCTGTTTGTGTTTTTATTTTATTGTGTATGTATGTGTGTGCATAATTTCAAATTAAAGTATTACCTGTGAGAAATTGTTTAGTACACACACCACAGCTATGTCTACAGTTCACCAGCATGTACAGTGTACAAAATAGTTTTTTGAACCAGGTTGCCCAGTGGGAAAGCTACGGCAAGAATTAGGTTGCCCATCAGAATTTTAGGTTACCCCACCTATAAGTCACTACTTTCCTCAAATTAAGTCATGTTACATACATAAGCCTATTGACAATATTTGCCCTGGGCAACCAAATTTTACTTGGGGCAACCTATAGTATCAGTTAACTAAAGGCTGTTAAAAATATTGCCAAAGGCTTATGTATGTAACATAATTTGAGGAATTTCAAAGTAGTAACTTATAGGTAAAGTAACTTATAGGTGGGGCAACCTAAAATTCTGATGGGCAACCTAATTTTTGCCGTAGGGCAACCTGGTTCAAAAAAGTATTTTGTACACTGTAATAAGCTTTAGTGCACCATGTCTACCAGTGCATGTGATGAACACTGTGTTCACTTCATACCATAGATGTAAGTATGGTTGGTAAATGGATCCAAATGACTGGGACATGTAAATTGGCAAATACCCCTGGATGTTTTAATTTTTTTATATATACCTTAAAATTATCCTCCAATATAACTTCTGAATGTCTACTAAAAGTAGCATACAGACTGAATCATGAATAAAGAATTATTTCAGACATAAAAGCCTACCAGGACAGATGACTCCACTGTTACAGAAGATTGTATCTGAAAGTGGTCCCTCACACATGGCACCATTGTTACTTGGCAGGGGGTTGTCACAGGCTCGGTACCTGGTCTGGAGCCCAATCCCACAGCTCACACTGCAACTGCTAAACGCTGACCATGATGACCAGAAACCATCCACTAAACACAAAATATCTATATCAATGGTTTATTGTGGCGACTCAAAACAACCATACAGTGGCTGCGCTTTTAAGCTGAATTATAGTATGGCATTATAAAGAGATAATATTTACACTTAATTTACAAGTTAATACTTAGTGCACAATACAACTTAAAATGCCTTGCATTAGGCCTGCACATATTGAAAACCATTTCATTAATGTGTTAAAATGTATACATGTAAATACATCAATCTAGCAGGTAATCATGGTAGATAGGCAATGCCTGTACGTGTCATGTTTCATTAATGTTTCATTTTCATTACATTGGGGCCTATGTACATTGTATAAATGCGTGTCTTACATGACCACATTCCTGATGATCCTACACTAATTCTACTGTAACAGTATTCTTAGTATCAGTCATTCTATCTTGAGCACATTTACTAGAAAAATTGCCAGATACACAATCCCTATTTTATGGCAATTACAAACTGTCTTAGAGGTCTGGCCTTAAAGACCGCACCACTCAAAACTCTGCACCTCTGTCTTAGTGTGCAGCTGCCAAAAATTACGTGCTGATTTCTTCAGTTACAAACAAGCTTTCACTACTTTGACATTTTACATGTAGATCCATTGGGCTGGCTTAAAGGAAATTTCTTACCAATATAAACACACCTTCAGGCCTCAAAATTAACTGTTCTTCCTATTGTCCCAGCACTGTCCAAAAAATAAATTTCAATTGTCCCAAAGTGAGGATGAACTGTCCCATCCTATGTTGTTTTTGGAAGTATTGTATGACTAATCAAATTGAAGTCAACTTTATTTTGCTTATGTTCACTCCCAAGTGCACTGTAATTGCAGAGTAGACAGGAAATTCAGGGATTCCTTTCTGGATACAGGACGTGTGCCTGATAAACAAAAGAAGGGCTGACATTCTGATGTTGATTATTTTTCTATTGTCCAAAAAATGTCCCAAAGTGTCTTTTCAGTTGTCCCAGCCTAAATTTTAGTGGTCAGTGGCCATTAGACCACCTTTGATTTTGAGCCCTGATATTCTTATGGCTAAGCAACCTGTCACACCTAGCAGTTATACCAACTTAAGATATTAACAGGTGGTTTTCTATATGATATCTGCAAGCTGACTCATAGAAATGCTACAAAATGTACAAAGTTAGTAGATGCTCGCTTCAGCACCAAGGACAGACCCAATATGTCCAATATTCAAAATGAATGTCTCACAATCATGATCCCCCCCCTCTAACATTCATTTTGAATATTGTTACAACATTGTTAGGTCTGTCCTTGGTGCTGAAGTAGGCATCTAACAACTTTGTATCTGCACAAGCATTTTTCAGACCTAGGCCATGTGGATTGGATTAAATGAATGACATCCACATGTGCATGAATGTTTGTCCAGTTCCAAAATAAGCCTTTGACCATGATGTAAATCGTACAAAGCAGCTGCAAAATGGGCAAATATTTGCCATAAATTGCAAAACAAATATTGGAAAACAATACTAATATAATTATAGAATACAAAATAAATTCCAAAGGAAAGAAGATAATGTGAAGAAACAAAAGTGAAGAGTCTATTCTGATACCTTTTTGTACTGTGTTTAGTTGATTGTCGCACCTTCAGGAACAAATACATGTACACGTGTACTACTAGATTTCATAATGAAGGCAACTTTTTTTGCCAAACTTTTATTTGCATGCTGGGGTTCCCAGAAGATGATTGTCATCCATGTTATCAAATTAACATTGCCCTATCTAGAAATCCTTTAAGGATGCCCCAACTGTACTTGGTGGCAACGAGTTCCACTCTACAAAAGTTGCAGAAATTTCATCTATATGGTATGTTCTAAAGTCTCCCAAAGAATAGGTTTGTTGAGGTGCCTTAGGTTTTGCTTAAATGTCAACATTTTTGCTAGCATGTTATACTGTTCTTTGATTCTACCACTGTTTCATTATTGTGACACTGTGTGGGATAACTGTAGCACCACCAAACAGCGGCAACTACAAGTCCTCCAGAACAGAGCTGCCAGGGTCGTCCTACGGATGCAACAAAGATCCAGTGTCCAGGACCTGCACACCAGACTCAACTGGAAATACCTGACCCAACGGAGAAAGGACCACATTTGTGTCATGGTTTTTAAATGTATCAACGGGCTTGTCCCAACATACTTGGATGCCACATTTGTACATAACCACCGGCTACACAACTTCAACACCAGACAGACCTCACTACTGCACAAACCTAACTACACAACTACAGCTGGTCACCGCACATTTGCTTTCTGAGGCACGACTCACTTCAACACACTTCCAGCAGACCTAAGACATGCACCTACTCTATCTCAGTTCAAAGCAGGCTTGAAACATGTCATATGAAACCTGACCTCTGACCGCCATTCCTGATTTTCGTGTTGTTTTTTTTTACCTTTGAACAGCTAGGACTTTGAGTATAGGACTATGACTGTTTTGACGCATCAGACTTTTATGTTTACTGTATGTTGTCCACTCTTATCTTACTGTATGTAACAATGTCTTGTGTAATTTTGCTGGGCCCCCTTGGAAAACAGCTAATGCAAGCTGAATAGGGCTACCCAGCCATCTTATGATGAAATAAATAAATCTAACAATACTGACCTGGAGGCACACAGTTTATATTCGTTTCTCCGACAGCCTTACACGTGCAGATGGAACAAGTGGTGTGATTTGTCCTCTCGCCTAGCTGGCAGGTACACACGCCACTGGATGTACCGGTTGGACACGACGGCTCAGTGCCAAAGACAGCAGCAACAAGCCAGGCTACTGTACATGGACAAAAAATCCCTGATCATTGATTGGCACATCATTGTTCACCAATTTAATTTCTTGGTTAACGGATTTTTCTAGAAAAATAATGGAGCGGGCGGGCGAAAAAAAAACAGACCTAGGCATCCTATTATGGCCCAAAATTGTACGATAGGAGCCATGAAGTCAACACACCAGGCTGGTTCAAAATTTAAACAATGAATTTTGCATTTGAAAGATGGAATAACTGTAACAACTAGGATGAAAAGAACTGTTTTCAACTGTCCAGGGCAAAATATGAACATTTTGCAGTTGATTCTGAATTTTTATTTTTATTTGAAAATCAGAAAAAAATGAAGCGGGCGAATCCGTTAACCAAGAAATTAAATTGGTGTGGCCTAAGGAGATGGTATGTTCTCAGAAAACATCATTATTAGTAAATGTGTAGTTTAAGTTAAATCTTAGCATCACTAAGATATATTATATTAATGTGGAGTTCTTTTGCGTTGATTAACAACAGGTTGAAACTAGAGTTCCACGATCTCATACCTTCGCCAAATGATGTTAGCCTTTATGAGTAAGAAATTATAGATTAATCCCCCTGATTGTGCAAATAGGATCCTATATTTGCATCAATTATATCTGTTGATCATATTCTACACCAGAAGACAGTCTTATCTTATCAAAGAATGCCATTATAGCATTTCCTCATAAATTATGCAAATGAGGTCCTTATTTGAATTAGTTATGTTTAATTATGTTCACCTTCACATAACTTTCAAATATCCCAAGTATGACATTCCAGGCAGTTACCACTATGTAAATATAACATTTTCTCATTAATTATGCAAATTAAGTCTTCATTTGCATAATCGATATCTGCCTGTATTTCTGCCATTCTTAATTACATATGTCACAAGCTTGAAAAGGCCTATCAGGGAATGCAGATGATTTATAGAATTTCCTCATTAATTATGCAAATTACATTAATATATGCATAATTATAATATTATTATGTTAAGCATCACCTCAGCTACCTACATGCCAAAAATCACGACGATCCATCAATCGGTTCTAGAGTTATCCGCCTTTAAATATTTTTCAACTAACGCCCCTGCAGTTCCAGAGCAAGCCGCTAGGGAGGCCAAACTCACATCACTTCTTCCCCAGCACAAGAGCTACCTACCATCCAAATTTCGTCACCTTAGCATGTCTAGATCACGAGATATCAAAACCGGAAGTTCAGCTGCAGTACCATAACAAGCCGCTAGGGGGCCCAAAATTTAATCAGTTCCATGTCTCATGAAGAACTATCCACCTACCAAATATCAAGACAATCCATTTTAGCCTTCTTGAGTTATCGTGCTGACACACACACACACAGACACACGAACGCCTACGAAAACATAACCTTCTTGGCGAAGGTAATAAAACCTTGCCAAAGGATAGGACATTTACATCACAACTAATTCTCGACCCAAGTAAATGTATTATGTTATTTGAGATGAAAAAAACAGAAATCAAAATTATAACCTTATTTTCATAGTCAATGTGGAAAATCCATGAAACACATTTACAAAAGCTTTAAATACATGTACATAGAGGTACATGTACACAGACACAAACGTTTACAAAAGCTGTAAAATTAATACATGTAACGTTACATATGCATAGAGGTAACATGTACAAAGTCTCGGAATTCTTGTTTGAGACAGATTTTCATGCACAGCACTGTGAAAATCAAAGATTTTGCTGTATCGTTGAGGTTGCAGTTGAATAATCAGTAGCAAGCAAAAGTACATTTTAACAGAAATACAGGCACCTGTTGGCACCTGGTGTAACTAGTTTGCAGTGGGAGGTGACTGTAATTGCAAACTTAAAATGACACACTTTCTGGTACTTTCAAATAGCTAATGTTAGATGTACTAGCATGAAAGTTAATCTGAGTTGTAGACTGTAGTTGAAAGTTCCTCAGCAAGCCACAGCAAGTAATCTTTATGGATAACATCAGGGCACACATGAATTTTTGCCTGATTTTGGAAAAAAAACAAGTAATTTTGTTGCATTCTGACAGTGGTCAACACACCGAAAATGTGGGCTAAGATGTCTGTTGGCATGCCAGAATGTGAATGGCAGATACATATGAAGAGGGAAGACATTAGACAAGGCTCTGACTTGTTTTGTCTTTTACTTTGATGCAGTACATGAAGTA